AACCATTTTGCAATATATTTGAGGTTCACTGTTTTAGGGTGCTTTCACACTTGATTCAATTGCTTGATCCAAACGAAGCTTGATTGCTCCCTCTCCCCAGTGTTTCCCACAGGATTTTTGAAAAATGTGTACGTTTTAAAGATAAAAACATCAATCAGCTGCGCCATGTGATGATGCCATTATGTGGTTAGAACCTGCACCGTCTAGAGTTTCGTGACAGAACTTTGGATTTCGAATTTTATTTAGACTGACAGATGCTTTGCCAAAGCATTGATGCAAAACACAACATTGGAGACCTTTTATGTTATTGTGAGATTAAGTGTAAAAATAGTTTGTTCGGTCTAAAAACCTTCCACATATGTTGTGGCAACGTGCTACAAACCCATTCATAACTGCTTGACAACTGCATAGCAACACCCTGGCAACTCCTCCAGCATCATGGTGGTGTGTTTTGCCATGGGAATCTGAGCACCACTTCTTTTTTTAAACTTGAGTGTTAAATCGTTTGTCCATTTCCTCATGGCAGTCCTACATCAACACTGGACTAGTTTACCCTTGGCCTGTGTGTGTTTGTGATGGAGAAGCCCTTGGCACTGTCCATGGCCAGAGATTTGTGCCTGGGTGTGTGTGAGGGGAAACTCCCTTTCTGAATGCCAGGCTTGTCAGTTTGTGTTAAGAAACGGCAACATTGATTTGCTTGATTTTAAAGGGGTCATATGATGCGATTTCAGTTTTTCCTTTCTCTTTGGTGTGTTACAAGCTCTTGGTACGTAAAGAAGGTCTGTAAAGTTGCAAAGACTAAAGTCTCAAATCCAAAGAGATATTCTTTATAAAAGTTAAGAGTCAGCCACTCCTACCTCAAACGGCTCGTTCTAACACGGCCCCACATATCTACATCACGATGTGGGAAGATTTGCATAACGCCGCCCAAATGTTCACACAAAGAAAGAAGGCGTAACTTTTATTCTTGCTGTAGTGTTGTTGCCGCCCCCATGTCGTGAAGGCCCTGTGTGTTTCGTTGTGAAAGCGAAACTACTTTGTTTGGCCTTCCAAAAGAGGACGATATCTGCTTCGTCATGCCTGGAGCTGATCCGTGCTGGTCGCTGAGGAAATACATCAACTTTGCGCTGTGGATCGCCGGATCGGCTTTCACCGTGGACGAAGCGGAGTCCAGCCCGGGTCGTCACATGTGGTTGCCGCAAGCCCGCCGGATGCTCCTTCGTCGAATCCGCCGGCCGCGCCGTTCTCAAGCCCGCCTGCCTCTGCTCACTCAAGCCGCCCACCGCCGCTTACTCAAGGCCTCCGCTCACTCTAGCCCGCCGTGTGTGACGCTGTGTGTTTCGTTGTGAAAGCGAAACTACTTTGTTTGGCACAACATCCTTTAAGTAGGCTGACTCATTTGATTTAGGGTAGATTTGGTCAGTTGAATATGGTTAACCTGATTGCTAACTAATCACAGATGATGGATTTGAAATTATGTAACAAGGAAGAAACAAACAGATAAGGGTTGATGGGCAATAATATTGAGAATTAAGACTGAGTCTGACTGGTGTTTGCACCATGATGTTAGAATATTCACTCATTTAACATGTTTCTGTGATCTCGATGGTTGCACAAGATGTGGTTCAAGTCCCAACTTCAATGCGAGTCTGTTTTATTATCTACCTGGTAAAGATTGTACGTTTAATCATTAAAAAATAAATAAATAAAATAAAATAAATAAATACACAGGCTTGTTGTGTCTCCTTTGACCAATTAAGATTTATGAGCATACACTGAAATGAATAAAGTCATTAAAAAATTGTTAAAATGATAAAATCCTGAGTAGAAAGACATACAGTGTGAAAGCATTTCCCAAACTATGGACAAATGCAAGTACTTGTGAACTTTTCCATGAAGTTCTTCTGAAAGCCTGGATGCCATCACTGCCATCCAGCACAAGTTTAGACTACAGGAAACTTTTGTTTGAATAGAGGGAAAATTTGCACTTTCCTTCGTACAAGTTATCCAAATAAACTGATCCATATTTTGCCTTAGAAAAAAGTTGAGAGCAATGAGTGCGTTACTCATAAAAACCATAACAATGTCAAAAGGATGTCAACATTGTGTTCTCCTTCATAAGACTGATGTTTACCTTGTGTATGACTCCCCCTAGTGGCCGGATTCTTAATATACACCTCTCTGCCTCCCCTTCTTTCCTCTTTTTTCTCCTCTTTGTAAAAGAAGGAAAGGTTACACAGTTTGTCATATTAACACATATGTAGAGAGGGCTCATCATATACAACTGCCTGGCAATTTTTTTTCATATTATATAAACCTGGTGTTTTTTTATGCAGTTTTTTTTAAATGTCCATGTTGTAAAAACAAATTTTGCTTATAATCACTGCACAGATGAAAAGAAACACATTTAAAGACACATTAATCAAAACAACATCAGAAATGTCTTGTTTATTTTATTTTGTGCAGTCATTTTTAATGAAGTTTGTTTGTATATTTTTATTAACATAATTAGTGGAAATAATTCTCGAAAGTACAGTAAAAATAAGTCGTACCAGGTCAAAATTGCATTGTTGAGAGAGGGGAAAAAAAACGGTTAAGTTGCATTTACAAACATTACAAATGCTATAAACAAATTTTTCCCCCTTGCTTAAGTCATTTCAATTTAATGGTATACAGAACAAAAACGAAAAGTATAAAACATACATTATAGTGCCATTCATTATAAACAATATTAATTACAAAATATTTTATTACACAAGTTGTTTCACCATACTGAAATATAATGCACTTATGGAAATGCAAATAATGTGCTGCAAATAAGACTTTAGAGTGGTGTTGTGGATTAATACATTGATTTTTTTTTATATCCCTCTATTTGTTCATTTTTATTTAAAATATAACATTCCCCATGACTTGACAAGAGCTGACAGAAAGTGGCACAGCTTACCCCACTTCTCTCTATTCATAATAAATGCTAAATGTGTTTAGGGAACTTTTGAATGTGAATTTGTAACATTCCCAGTTGAGTTTGCTCGAGTGTTTACCGCCCAGTTTTTTCCAGCAGTGAAACTGATCATTACAGCAGCTGATAATTGCTTCAAGTGGGCGGAAATGCTCTTGGCTGCACTTTTGTGAAATTTGATTGATTGGAGCCAAAAAGCCCCAGGTGGAAGTTGTCATTTGGAGCCTGGGAACAGACTCCTCTATTTAGTTCAGCTGGTGTCAGAAGAGCTGCCCAGGACAACATTCATCAGCATTAGGGCCAAACATCTGTTAGCATGCCTTCTCCATCACTCTCATCTCTTTCCCAGCAGCTCCAGTAGATATGCATGGCCATCAGGAACTCCCAAGACGGGCACAAAACACTCTCCGCACAGCTGCTCCTCATGTAAATGTAGAATGAATGTGAAATCAAATGTATTCGGGGTCTCTGTGGCCAAGAATCCTGCTAAGATCACAGTCAAAGATAATCTGGACACTCAGAGCAGCTGAGATGATGATAGATCTGCATACTTCCAGCTTTAGTCAGAATTAGGAATCTAGTTTTGTACTGATGTATGAGGAAAGCCATGAGGTGTTGAGAGTGTGTCTCATGGTCTAAGCATCTGACAATCACTTTCTCCTCCCTGTTGTCTTTGGCTCCCTGTCTTTGTCCACATTTATTATTTTTGGAAGTAATTTAAAAGTTTATAAAACCATGTTACATGTGGGAACCCAGGGGAATTTGCCTGTACAAAGTCTGTCTCTCTCAGATCTGAATGCATTTCTGTTCTTTTTGACCCTTGTATTTATTTATTTTTTCTTATCAGCGAATGCTGCACTTTCCAGAACATTCTGTACAAGTAAATATTGTCTTTCATATGTGTGGGATCTGCTTATTTTCCAATCAGGAGCACTTTTTTGTCCTGGAATAGGGATATCGTCTTCGAACATTGTGGATTTTGTTATAGTGCGATTCTAGATGTAGACTTTTGGTATTGTGTTTGGAATTGGTGTTTGTTATTGAAGGTAAAATATTAATGTTATGGTTAAATATTATAGATTTGCTAACATTGCTTCTGAAATAAATTGATTATATACTGATTTGGTAATGGCACCTATAAAGCTAAACTCACATTTTGATGTAAAATTCTTATTAAAGTTGACATGATGTGAAAATTCACCTATTTTCTTAATGCTTGTTATTGATTTACATTTCTGTCTTTTTTGATCTTGTGTATAGTCACATAGACATACAGTACAGTAAATGTGTACAGTACACATACAGTAAAAACTATAGGTCGCACAGGTCAAAATTGCATTGTTGAGAGTTGCATTTACAAACATTGCAAATGCTATAAACACGTATTTGCTCCCCAACAAATCATTTAAATTTAATGATATACAGAACAGGAATGAAAAGTGTCACAAAAGTATTCTCGGATATACGTCACAATACAGAAGAAAAGTTCTGTCGTGCTTCTGTTTGATCACAACTTGAAATAACTTTCCTGATGGTCAAACTGTCACTGTTTTGCTATCAGCTGAAATATTCTCCATTGATTTTCAATGGAATGTAGATCTGGATTGATTGCTGGCCACTTAAAAACAGTCCAGCATTTTATTTTCAACCACTCCTGTTTTTTTTTTTAAAGATCATTTGTCCTGCTGAATGATCTACCCTTGATGAAATCCGCTTTCTGATGCTGGTTACACATTTCACTCCAAATATCTTGGTAATGTCTGTTTTTTTTCTTTATTAAAAAAAATCCAAGGGTGGCAGAATTTCTTGCCTTAGGACTGTGCTCTCACACACACACAAGGTTGCTCAACCCCAGATGTCTCTAAGCAACTGCAGGTGCTTCAGCATGGGGTATGAGACAGTGGGAAGATCCTGGGATTTTTCAGACATCATCTGAGCACACACACACACACATACTTGGGGTTGATTCAGCTAACACTGCAGACTGCATTATTCTGTCACACTGAAGCTGATGTGCTGTGTTTTGTGTGTTCTGTAGGAGATCTCTTCCGTGGATTTCCGCAGTAACTCCGTGTCCAGTCGGACTCCAACTCCACCTGGGCGATACTCTCCACACAGCCCCATCGAACGAGAGGTGCCCATTTCCCCTCGACGCAGGTACATATTTGAACAGAAGCCGCTGCTTCTGTCAACATTTTTAATCGATTGGCAGTCTAAATAAATGTCTAACAAAAATTAATTGGCTATTTATGTCATATGTAAGCAAATTACATTCAGTTATTTAAGAAAAGTTCCAAAATTTAAATAATTTACATTATTAGACATTTGATTTTACGTTATGGTTGCAGATGAGTAAATAATTGAACAGATATTACATAAGGGGCTCTAAAAAACAGACAGACATAAGCAAGTTAAGTCTGGTGACATGATTAATTGTTTGGGTTTTTATTGCATTTTTAAACATTATTTAATTTATAAATTATTTAAATTATAAAAAAACTAAATTAATGCATTTAAATTAACTGCCCAACAGTTTTTTGTTTTTTTTTGCTTCCGCTCATAGATTTTAACATGAATATTTCTGTACAGCTGTGAGATTCTGTAATGTGATGTCATTTAGATTCTGTTCTTTGAACAGTTCTCAGAACAGATTTTTTTTTTTTGTCTCTTTATGTCAGATGTCTAAATGAGTCATAACATGGCTGGTGGGCCAAAAATGTATTTTTCTTTTCTTTTCTTTTTTTGTTCTTTTCTTTTTTCAATTTGTCTTGTTTTCTAGAAAAGGATTATATCATTTCTGCTCCTCATTTCTGCACCTTTCTTCCCTCTTCTACACACCCATGACCCCTCCTCCTTCTTGCTCATCCAATAAGAAAATGTCAAAACGATCAGCCACACCCCTTTTTCTGCTGTCAACCAATACGAGGCAGTCTAAACTTACACCTTCAGACTGAAACTCTCAACTTTCTTATGTCTCGTCAAGACTTGACAGAGAGGTGTGTGTGTGTGTGCTGTAGTGTGTATGTGTGTGTGCAGTTGTCACCGTAGGCTCTGTTGTTGTTCCAACAAGAGTTGAACTAGTTGGATAGGAATTTGTCTTTGTTTGCTCTTGAGGTAAGTCCAAACTTTTCAGGCATCTTCCTCTATCTTACCAAGCAATGACAAGCTAGTTTGCGGGGGGAGAAGAAATATCGTAATGTGAGCCTAGCGCTGCGCTCTGTTCTCAGCGCTGTAATGTAATGATGCTGTGTCGACTGTTTTCACGGCTCCATCTGAAGCCTGTTTAGCAAGATTGTAATCATAGTTAAGCTGTGATGGGGGGTTGAAGATGGATGGAAAGTTCTTTCTATGCACGTTTCGATAATTTATATCAACTTCACCTCAATAAATGGCACATTTACAGTATACGGAGGGATAAACATGCATATCCATTGCAGCAGGAGGGGATAACCGGGTCCTTTGAAAAGGGGCCCACTATGCTCCCCTGTTATATATCCTACTCTTTGGTCTCGAAGGAGGCGACACACCCATAAAACTGTTGTTCTGGGTCCCGTGAATTGAGGCGACAGCCCTGTGGGGGAACTGAGAGGTGCTGGGAGGGTTTTGAGGGGAAACTCAAACTCTGTCTGGTTTTAATTTGAAGCATGTCTCATTGAACAGCCTGTGTGCAGATAGTGAACATGCCATTTATTTGGAGATTTATAGTGGCTTTAAATGCTTTTTTTCAGTAATGGCTATTCCAAATGCTTCTTACTTTTCATTTTCTGTCTTGGACGAGTTACTTTTTGTCCTGCACACACTCAAACAGTCATGTCAGCTATGATATGACATGCTTGCTGTCATGTGGGTTTGTGGTGACAACCACACCCAGAAACTCAGTGAAACCCTCAATCTCTGATTGTGTCATTTTCCACCTCTGTTTTACGCTGCAGGTCAGGTCGAGAGTTCTGTTTGATAGATTTGGCTGTTGGTTAATCATTTCTCAGCGCATGTCTTGGCCTTTGTACACAGCAGAAATCCTGATTGCATGTGTTTTGACAACAAACTGCAGTAGCAAACTATCACAAGGCCACTGCGCCAGAAAGGATCTGGTAATACGTTCCTCATGACCAGAAGTTAAACTGGTTCCAGAGCGGCATACCTGATGCCTTTATTTAGGAATAAATTGTTGGTTGGTTGGTTTGTCAGTTCTGAACAAGTGTGCTCACTCAAAAAGAAAAAGCTTCACCTCACCCTGATCTTCATTTACATCCGTTATACATCCAATGATGTACAGTAAGAGTCTTTCTTTGTTTATTAAAAGTTATAAGAGCAGGTTTTGAACAAGGGACCACTCGTATTAAGAATCATACCACTTGACGAACAAATTCTATATCAACAAATCCTATGTAAAGTACACTACTGTTCAAACATTTAGGGTCAGTAAGATTTTTTTAAAGATGTCTCTTATGCGAACCAAGGCTGCATTTCTTTGATTAAAAAATACAGTAAATTGTGAAATATTATTACAATTTTAAAATAACTTTTTTTAATTTGAATATATTTTCAAATGTAATTTATTCCTGTGATGCAAAGCATCATTACTCCAGTCTTCAGTGATCCTTCAGAAATCATTCTAATATCCTGATTTGCTGCTCAGGAAACATTTCTGATTAATATCAATGTTTTGTGAAAATATTTTTCAGGATTCTTTGATGAATGGAAAGTTTAAAAGAACAGTATTTATTTGAAATAGAAATCCGTTTTTTGTTGTTGTTTTTTCTATTTTACAAACAATTTAATGTATTAAATATATTAATTTAATGTAAAAAAAAAAACTGACCCCAACTTTTGAACAGTAGTGTATGTGTGTGGTTGCCATATGCCTGTATTTTTTCCTCCAGGCTGTATGGCAATGGCCCAATAGGTGTAAAGCAGTAATGGGATGCTTGTGTGTGAGAAAGCTCCGTGTTTATGACATAACATAAAACGTGCATAAAAATGCAGCTGTTAACCTCTCGCTGGACGGCTACTGTAACTGCACTCTAATCAGCTCATTAACCTGGACATTATAAAACAGTTTCTCAAAGCCATGCTCTCTTCAATCTTATCCTTCCCATACAAGTACAGTCTGCTAATTGTTGTGTTCAGACAGAGTAGGGCTAACCACAGGAGCGAGGGAAGAACAATGGAGAGAAAAAATGGAAAATACTAATATTCCATATGACTCAAATCTGCATTTTAGGTTATTCACTTACGTCAGTACAGAGATCTTGGCTATCTAGTAATGTAGAAAGGCTTAGTCTATAGCTATTTTTAATGTTTTTCCGTAATGTAAAACACCTCTATATACTCAAAATAGCATAGCAGACATTATCCATAATGACAAAAGAAGTTGCCATGAGAGCATAAGGCTATTCGAACATCTAATTTCACAAAGGATTTTTTACTTTTGCCTTAAAGGCGTCTGTAATCATATCTCTTTTTGGGCTATAAAACCAGGACTGATCCCACTATAATATTACACTAGTGTGGGTATATATTTTTAACATAACCCAGAGATGGATTAACTGAGGCCCTTCATCACTTTTAGATTGTGTTTTGTTCATTGAGTGCTGTTTTTTCAGGTGGCGTCAACTTTAAAGAACTCTCTTTCCCTCTCTTTCAGTTCGGACTTTGCCATGCAGAGGTTTGACAGAGACTCAGAGGTGTACAAGATGATTCAGGAGAACAAAGAATCCCGTGCAGCTCCTCGCCAGTCCAACACCTTCAAGATGCTGCAGGAGGTGCTGGAGGCTGATGAGAAAGGTGAGACCTCAAATGTCTCACAACAAGGTTTTTCAGTCAACGTATAAAGTCTGGTCCACTTTCGGTTGTCAGAAGACAGGAGGCTGTGGTGCCAAACTATTAAGCACACACTAGCATCTTAAAGAACATTAACCGTACATTAGAAACTGCTACATGTGAAGGTGTGCTGTGGACAGACGATGAGGGTGGGGGTGGAAGCAAAAGGATGTTGCTCCAGGCGCTGAATGTTTTATTTTTTGGTTTGTGGTTTCTTTGTTTTCACAGAGGCCGCCATCCGGTTTCCAAGCAAGTTGTCTCCAAGCCCCTCCAAGACCACGTCCTCTGTTTCTGGTGTGCAGAAATACCACACCTGTGAAAAATGCGGCACCAGTATTGTGTAAGATAAAACGCCCGAATCCCTCAGTCTCTGCACACACTCCACTGTATGTCCTCTGCACAGGCATGCTGGGATTGCATAAGAAGTTAATGAGCCGGTAACTTGATGAAAGTGTTGTGTGATGTTTAGCCTTTAGGGAAGAGTCGTCTCATCATCTCTTCGCATTTATTTAAATTGATGATTGAGTACTGTTGAGACGAAATCATTTCAGTGGGTATTCATTCGTACAGTATTATATTACCCTGTGAGAATTACACATCAACACCTTCATTAGGTGAGATAAAAACTTAGGGGTGTGTCTGTTTTGAACCTGCACCAAAGCAGCTGTTTCAAAACCTAGTGAACTGCCTACCTAGACAGCATTTTAAGGAACCTTAGATGCATTCCCAACAAGAGCATTGTTCAAAAAGGTACCACCTTTTGACCACTATCTAATTTGCTGTACTAGTACTTCAGTAGCGTATCCCACAATGCACCTCATGAAGTTGTTTGACAGAATGAACAGAACTAGACAGAGAAACTTAAGTATAAGAGAAGTATGATTAGTTTTAGTCACTGCACAAAGCTATTTCATAGTTTTAGATACTAATTTTGCATTGTATGCTTTAGCGGAGAAGGCAGTCTTAGAATGTCTTACGATGACCTTGGTGCGGGAAAAAAATGGTGGACAAGCCAACATAAAAAAATACTTGTGTCGCTAAAATTTGTGTGCTCAGTTTTTGTGCTCATTAAGAACAACTACGTTGTTAGCTTAGCAACATGCTAACATTAATTTCTATCGATTCTAATGTTTTGTGATTTAAGTTCCAGAACCAGTTGCTCCATTGCTATGGAAGCTCTTTTCCGCCACTGAATAAAAAATAAAAAAAGGTAATTGCGACTTTTTATCTCACAGTTCTGACTTTCTCACAACTATGAGTTTACATCTCACAATTCTTACTTTTTTCTCGGAATTGTGTAATACAAACTTGCAATTGTGACTTTTTTTCTCAAAATTGTGTGATATTCTCCTTCCTCTTTCAGCACTCAGGCCGTGAGGATCACAGATGATCGCTTCCGTCACCCAGATTGCTACACCTGTACAGAATGCGGGCTCAACCTAAAGATGCGTGGCCACTTCTGGGTGGAGGACAAAATGTACTGCGAGAAACACGCCAGAGAAAGATACCAGGGTACCGGCAGTAACTATCGTTACGTCGTGTCCCCAAACCACTGAGACGCCCGAGCAGCCGCCCTCCTGACGCCACCTCCAACTCCTCTGATTAGCTGCGAGCATAGAGAGGAGAAGATGCTGATGTCATTGATACGTTGTCCAATGGGAGCCAAATAGAGTTTTTGGCGTAATGTCACTTGAAGCTTTGGGACCTGGCGCAATTGTGTCCTCTTCTCCAGTTATCATACACCCCTTGAATAGAGACTATAAGCTTTGATCTAATGGATTTGGAAGGGAGCGTCTCTGTTAGAGCGTGCTATTTCTATACAGTTGAATTTCTACATTTGCCTGCCAGTTCCACATGTTGTATTATGCTTTGAAAACTGCTTGTTTTTCAATAGACATTTAACTTGGGTTTATCTTGAATAGTTTGTATTGTTGTATTAAAAACTGCTTGTTTTTCAATAGACATTTAACTTGGGTTTATCTTGAATAGTTTGTATTTTTTATTTTTTTTTGGCTGAAATTTGTAGAGCTTTTCCATACCGAGACTCGAATGGTGAGCTGCATCACGTGGGCATCATCAGCGCTAATGCACACAGGACTAGTTTCCTTTGTGTATTTGTGTGTAAATAGTTGCAAACAACTTAATTGATTTCAGTTTGCACTTGTTAATGAAGGGTCTAATGATTACTTGGAAGTGATTCTTAGTTTGATGTATATTTCTCCCTTCATAAAAAGAAATGATCCACAACAATTCCTCCATCCACACAGAAGCACGCATTTAGACCTCTGCATAGTTTATTTGCCATATGCTTTGTATTAAATAAGGGATATCTAAGAAATTATGATATTTGTGTGTAAATGTTTATTTTTCACCTTAAACTGTATGTGGACTGAGCGGAGGGTTTCGCACGCACTTGTTCGAGTTCAGGGTTGCATGTTTCATTTTGACTGTATTGTGTGTTTTTGGGTGAGAGATGTTTGATCACGCTCCGATACACTGTTGTTTGCTTTGAATGCAAGAGAAAGGAGTATCAGAGTGAACGATTTGAAACATTTGTGGATAAAATTTGTCAAATGAATCGTGAATCCTCACATTGTGTTTGTAGGGTTGCCTCTCTTTACCTTTTCCGTTTCAAATAAAAAAGCTTTCTGATTATCAGTGGATATTTGGATGAATTGCTTTTGTCTGTTTTGCTGTATTGTGGTATTTTGGTTAAGTCCTATATCAATTTGCCCATTTTGTTTGATTCTTATCAAAGCATTTTTATAGTTAAGGTGCTTCATTTACTCACCCTGAAGCTCTTTCTTCTTTTAAACACAAAAAGATATTTTGAAGAAGCTGGGTAACCAAACAGTTGATGACTTCCACAGTATATATTTTTCCCCAGAAGAAATTCAGGATAAGTAAATGACAGAAATTTCATTTTTGGGTGAACTACACCTTTAAGTGCAGTACACTGCATATATGGCAAACTGGAAGCTCAGAGCATGATAGATGAACTTTTGGAAGGTACAGCATGTTAAAAACAATTTATAATTTGTCAACAACTGTATACATAGCCAAATGAGCTAAAAGAAATGAGAATACGGGGTAAATTATGCGTAATGATGGACACTTTGAAAACTACTTCATGAAGCTTGGAAACCATGCAAATGATTTACGTCCAGTAAGTCACATGATTTCAGTAAATGAAGCTTAGTTTCACCATAACTTTTGAAATATTTCGGAATTTCAGTGGTTGACACTAAAGGACAATGATCCACAGTGGTGTTTAAAACAATGCAGTAGGCCTACAACATCAGTAACCTGATGATCCACTGTTATTATTAGTATAGTGAAATTTCTGCAATGCAATTTACTTGTAGTAGTGTAATAGAAAAGCAACATACCCAACTGTCATCAAATGCACACTGCTTGTTCTGAGTAACTGACTCGTTCATTGAAAAGGTTGTGTTTGAAATAATAGCAGTGTGGAGTTTAATTAGAGAATTAATTCACAGCATGGTGCAAAAATCATGGTATGGGGATGTTTTTCATGCTATGGTGTTGGGCCTTTTTATCGTGTACCAGGGATCATGGATCCGTTTGAGTACATCAAAATATTTGAATATATCATGTTGCCCTGTGTTGAAGAGGTAATGCCCCCGGAATGGGTGTTTCAACAAGACAATGACCCCAAACTCATGAGTAACGAGCAACATCTTGGTTTTAGACTAAAAGGATTGAGGTAATGGAGTGGCCAGCTCAATCCTCTGGCCTCAACCCCATTGAAAACTTGTGGGGTGACATTAAAAATTCAGTTTCTGAAGCAAAACCCAAAAATTCACAGGAACTATATGTAGTTAGGTGCCAGAAGTTGGCTGACTCAGTTATAAAAATAATGGCTATGCAAATAAACATTGCTAAATATTTTTTGACCATATGAATATACATTTTCTTTGCTTCCTGTCAAAGAATAATGCAGACTTGATAATGCTTTCATTTGGAATTGCATGTATGTTTCCATTACATTTAAAATATGGAAATAAAAGCTTTAAAAATATTTGAACTTTATACACATTTATTAACACACTGCTATTTATTTGAACACAACATGTCAACCCATAGGCTATGTTTTTTTTGTTTTTTTTTTACCTGATCTCAGATCAAGGTTTGTAATGATTTTTAATTATACATTTGTGTAATAAAGAGAAAAGGCTGTAGTTATTAGTCTGGCCTGATTGACATAAAACATAGAACAAAGAAAACAATCCATAGCCTACATAATAATAAAATAACATAATCGCCTAAAGACATTTCATATTTAATGTTATTAGATGATTTGCTAATTGCATAGATTACACTCTCAATAAACATTTGCAATTGGCTTGTAAAAAGTTTTTTTTATGAACGTTTGGGCTAAGCTTTCATTGCATTTACACCGTACTGACCAGCGTGTGGCGTTTCGAGGGCTTCGAAAAAGTGATTCATTTTGCGAAGAAATTAATTCAAAATTCGTTAATTCGACACGACCAAAAGAAGCGGTAACACTATAGCAGACAAAAGTTTTTTCCTCGCTAGAAAGAGCGCAAGAAAACAGATACCGAGCTCGCTTTACTTGACGGGTAACGTTAAACGCATAGCACGGTTATACCGCGGTGGCTAAATCTGGCTAAAGTTCTTTACCTGTGATTCTCGCTTTCACATTCAAGTCTACCGCTTTGACGGTAGACGCCAGAACCAATGATTTCAGTAAACATTTCTCTCTTCTTGTATGGCCTTCACTGTTCTGCCTAAACAAAAACCGATTTTTTTTCTCAGGTGCGCATGGCGGAGTTGAAAACGTCATGAGGGGAAGTATTTTTTATTTATTTTTTGTTTCCTTTCATATTCCACCTGGAAAGCAGCTTTTTACTTATTAATTTATTTTGGGATATTGTTGGAACCATTTTAAATTTGTAAATGTTTTATTTTGTATGTTTTGCAGCTGTACAGAAGATAACAATTAAGGCCAACATTTACCGTTCATTCTGCTGTTTAAAAATATAAAGCTAAAAAAGATCCTATTTTAAGATAAGATGGTAAAATTATGGGACAGGGTGCAGAGGTTTTTATATGTTCAAAAGAGAGGAGGAAATTTGTTCAACAAAACACTGAAAAAGCCTAACAGCACCTACAGATATTGTGAAGAAGACAAAATGTCTTTCATTGATTTTCTTTTGGACCGCTAGAGGGCAGTAGAGATGTTTTCTTCCAATTACCATGGTTGGCTGGTTCTCTGTCAATTAGGGATGGGCGATACCACTTATTTTGTTTTCGATACGATACCGATATTTTTCAAGGCAGTATCGTCGATATCGATACTGATTCGATACTTCTGAACTAAACTTTTAAATTATGAAATTGATTAAATTATTAAATTACTAAGAGTAAAATGGGTAATGATAAGTATCGATATATCGATACTTTGGATCGATACGCCCATCCCTACCGTCAATCAGTACCAGCTATCTGCAAACAATGAACCAAGCCATTAGGAGGTCATTAGAAAAGAAAACGAAATTTGTCTTGCAATGCATGTTTAGTAGTTTAGTAGTGTATTTTAGTAGTGCGGATGCCAGTTTTCTTTCACTGGTAAAGAAATATGTATGATATGACATCCAAGTAGTACAATGGAAACAAGTCAAACATGAGGGCATTCTCTCAGCCTTATGAATCATTTTAGCTACAGCAATGGAGATTTTAAATCAGTCTATTCAGTTCATTTAAGACTTACTCTCTCATAGAACTAGGCGACCCAGCATAAATAACCGGTGCCGGAGCAATTTACATTGTTTGTCGGAGATGAATGACCTGCCTGTGCTGTTTGATATTTTTGGACATAGGTTTCTCCCAGCAATCAGTTAAGGTCACGGGTTGTTATCTCTGGTGTTTTGTTCATGTGTGTGAGGTCATGCTTGTTTCCAGACATCGCTGTAATCAATCTTTCCCCAAAAGCCCATTAAACGGAATCAGCGGTTAACACTAAAGACAGGAACTGTGCTCCGGTGAACGGGGAAATGGGCGCAATCAGACATTTGTTAGACTGATTTCCTAATGGGACACTCTGACGGAATGGCTGATGCACATTCAAGTGGTCCGCACTTAACTCCTGCTCTCTAACCTCATTGTTGAGGCCCAACATTTTATGGGGTGTGTCAGATATTGGCCCACTTGAACATACTTGGTCTTTGTGGTGTTTTATGTCACTGTAGAAATACCCTAACACAAAAATTCAGATTCAAGTCATTCGATTATCGTATGGGGGTTTCTGCAACTTCAAGCATTTTTTTCCCTCTGGTGGTTGATTTAATTAAAACTAATAGAATTGAGATTTTTACATTTTTGTTATATGAAGGTAACAGACATGTTTTAGGAACTTTATTTCTTTATGTTTGTATGTAGGTGTATATTATGGAAGCCTGTTTCTGCCACAGGATAAAACTTTAATTTTTTTATATCTTACAAGTCAAACTTTTTTTCTTGCAATTCTGAGAAAAAAAAAAACAGTTTACTTCTCGCAATACTTTCTTTTCTTTCCCCCACCATGGAATAAAACATTTAAAAGGTAATTGTGATTTTTTTTTCAGTCTCGCAATCTTGCAAATCTGAGTTTTCTTCTCAGAATTGCAAATTTACTATGTACTGTCTTTTTATTATGACTTTATATCTTGAAAAATGTCAGAATTGTAATAATAATAATAATAATAAAAAAAAATAGTTAATAAAGGTAACTGCATGTGACTTTTATCTCACAATTCTGAGTATATATTACAAGTCTAACTTTAAAACTGTAAAAAAAAAGCCTATGAGTTTACATCTCACATTTCTGTTTTTCCCCCCACCATGGAATAATTAATAAAAAATTAAAAGAGTAATTATGACTTTTTAATCTCACAATTCAGAGTTTACATCTCGCAATTATGAGATTTTTTTTTCTCGCAATTATGATTATTTTTCACACAATTCTGAGCTCATATCTCACAATTCCAACTTTTCTTTCTTTTGAAAGTTTACTGTGTGTCTTGTAATTCTGAGTTTATATCCTGAAAAAAAGTAAAACTCTGAGTAGAAGAACATATTTGGTAGAAATGACATTTGATTGAGATTTTTGTAAATGTTCTTTTTATTATTTTTTTGGAAAGAAAGAAAACCTTTTCTCCTGGATATTGATAGTGCTCATTGTTAAAGAAAAGTGATAGAAATGCATGCCTCTGAAACATTACCAACATTAACAGACAGACACCACAAGGTGGCGCTATACATAAACACAGGCCTGCTGCAAATCCACTGAACTTCCATATCTGAGTCACTTGACTTCAGATCAAGTAGATATCCTTTAATCACACGCCAACACTGCTTTGAAATGAACTCACAAAGTGTTCTTTATATATTTATTGGCTGCGTTTTTGTTTTTGTGCCTTTCATACATTTGGTTGTGTTTTTCAACCAGTATTAAATCTCCCCGAGGTTCAGAGGCAGATAGTGTCCTCATCAGAGTGATAGCGCTAGGGGAAATAACATCAGTCAGCAGGGGTCAATACCTTCAGCCCTGAGAGGAACTGTCTCACACACAGTGTCACTAGTATTATAATAACCATAGTAATATATATTTGATATTACATT